TGGTCTCAAATTCCTGGCCTCAAGCGATCCTCCCTGCTCTGCCTCCCAGAGTGCTAGGATTATAGGTGTGAGCCACCGCACCTGGCCTATTTTATTTTTAATTGACAAAAATTTATATATTTACCATGTACAACCTGATGTTTTGAAATATGTATACATTGTGAAATGGCTAAACTGAGGTAATTAACATATGCATTACCTCATGGACTTATTATTTTTTGTGGTGAGAACACTTAAAATCTACTCTCTTAGTGTTTTTTCAAAATATAATACATTGCTATTAACTAGAGTTACCATGTTGAACAACAAATCTCTTGAACTTATTCCTCCTAACTGAAATTTTGTATCCTTTGATCAGTATCTCCCCAACCCTCCCCCAGCTCCCAGTCCCTGGCAGCCACCATTTTACTCTCTACTTCTATGAGTTCAACTTCTTTAGATTCCACATATAAGTGAGATCACACAATATTTGTCTTTCAGTGCCTGGCTTATTTTATGTAATATAATGTCCTCCAGGTTCATCCATGTTGTTGCAAATGATAGGATTTCCTCCTTTTTTAAGGCTGAATAGTACCCTATTATATTTATATACTGCATATTCTTTATCCATTCATCCATTGATGAACACTTAGGTTGAGTCCAAATCTTGGCTATTGTGAACAGTGCTGTAATAAACATGGGAGTGAAGATACCTCTTGAGTATAGGAGAGAAGACTCAGAAGAAAGCAAAACTATGGATACCTTGATCTTGGACTTCTAGCCTTCAGAACTGTGATAAAATAAATTTCTGTTGTTTAAGCCCCACTGTGGTATTTTATTAGGGTAGCCTGAACAAACTAATACACCATAAGGTAGGTCCATATGGATGAGACTCTTTGAGTTTAACTCCTTAAATGGCTGGGAGTGGTGGCTCACACCTGTAGTCCTAGCACTCTGGGAGGGCAAGGCGGGAGGATTGCTTGAGGTCAGGAGTTCAAGACCAGCCTCAGCAAGAGTGAGACCCCACCTCTACTAAAAATCAGAAAGAAATTAGCCAGGCAACTAAAAATAGAAAAAGTTAGCCAGGCATGGTGGTGCACCACCCCTGTAGTCCCAGCTACTTGGGAGGCGGAGGCAGGAGGATGGCTTGAGCCCAGGAGTTTGAGGTTGCTGTGAGCTAGGCTGACACCACAGCACTCTAGCCCAGGCAACAGAGCAAGACTCTTGTCTCAAAAACAAAGAAAGAAAGAAAGAAAGAAACAAAAAACACCTCCTTAAATATCACTCCCCGCAATCTGAATACCCATGAACTAAAGAGACAAGTTGTCTTCCCCTTAGTACCCAAAATACAATGGTAGAAGAACCATCATAGAAGAATCATTATGTTTAAAAGGGGTGGAGAGGGGGAGGTGAATGTGAGGCACGCAGGAGTCACTGGTCCATAGCAATTCTGCAATCCTGCTGGGAAAATGTTGAAAGTTCCTTGATTAGGACTCAGTCCTATTTCTGCCCAGGAGTGAATATCCATGCCTCTCTCTCTCTTTTTTTCGGGGGAGATATAATTTACATACCATAAAATTCATCATATTAAAGTACACAACTTGGTGGGGTTTTTTTTTGTTTTGAGACAGAGTCTCGCTTTGTTGCCCTGGCTAGAGTGCCGTGGCGTCAGCCTAGCTCACAGCAACCTCAAACTCCTGGGCTCGAGTGATCCACCCACCTCAGCCTCCCAGAGTGCTAGGATTATAGGCGTGAGCCATGCGCCCGGCCATATAATTTGATAGTTTTTTTAAAAAATCACATTTAATTTGCAGTTCCTTATGTTGAGCTTCCTATGTTGATTGGACATTTGTATTTCTTCTTTTGAGAATTGCAATTTAAGTCCTCTGCCCATTTTTTCTATAGGGGTAATCATTTTCATATGGTTGAGATTATCAAACAACCTCCGTATCAAGAATCTTGGCTTATTTAACAAGTGAAAGCAATACTTCATTGTTATCACAAATGTGCATTTCTTTGGTTGTTAATGGGCCTGGACATTTTCTTGTACTTGCTCAGTCAATTATATTTTGTCTTTTGTGAAGCCTCAGTTCATCCTGTTTTGTCATTTTCCGCAGACAATTTTAAGCTGTGGACAAATTGGCCTGTCCTTAAGGTGGCCAGGATAAGCTTCAACCTGACCATGGTGCTGGGCTTTGTCCTCACCATCTGGTTGCACCTGCCATACCCGTCTGGTCTTCAGTAATTGCTCTCCTTTGGCTTGGTTGGGACCATCTTGAGCTTCTGCGAAGGTGCCCCCTAGCTCTGAACAGGTCTTTAGTTCTCCCAACCCTCATCTTCCCAGGCACTTCTCCCTTTTCTTTGGGGGTGGCGTTGGGGCCTTATGGGTGGTGGGAGAACAGAACTGAGAGTGGGGTTACATCATTTTCTGGTCACTGGAGAGGTAGAGGCGGAGGAGTTGACCCCTGTGACCCTCTGGGGCTGGGTGCTCTGTGTGTGGTGCTGGGAGCTGTGGTTTGTGGCTGTATCACAGCAGATGAGGAAGAGCCTCCGGGTGGGATTCTTAGGTAAGAATAAGACCTCTCCGCTTCTTGTCTCCCAGTCACCTGCATTTTCTCCACCCTCTTGTTTTTCCCCATTAACCTCTGGATCTTTGAGTTGGAGGGGAACGTATCAATCCCCATTGGCTGGAGCTATTTCATCGGTTGGTTGGTGTTTGTCCTGTATGTCATCTGCGGTGAGTGGCCCGGAGGGCCCTGAGGGAAAGAGGGGACAAGGGTGGAGGTTCAGGGCAGGGTAAGTGTGGAGGGAAGGGGCTGGCGATCCCCAGAGATAGGTGTTTAGGGTCTTATCTTACCTTTGGCCTCACCCTGCTTGTCATTTTCCCTCCCAATCTCAACTCTCCTGTCCCTTGTCCCCTGTGCTTTCCCAGCGATCATTTGCCACTTCAACCATAAAAGTTTCTGGAGTCTGACTCTGAACATCCCTGTGGCACCGTGTCGGGCAGCAGCAGTGCCACCTCCATAGAAGAATCTCTGAGTGAGCAGACTGTCACGGACTCCTCTCTCACCCCGGTGGAGGAAGTCCTGGGTCATGAGTGAAAAAATGCACATCCGTAACCTTTTTTGAACTCCTGGCAACACGTTTTATCCTTTCGTCTGAATTCCTCCCTCATCCTTCCCCTCAGCCCTTGGATAGGCTGGTCCTCATCACTGCAAGGAATGAGAAAGGGAGGATCTTGGACCAGCGTTGCCCTCCTCTTCCTTATGTATAGCTTGGGTGACATGGAATAAATTTTCTGTCTTTTCTTTATTGTGTCTGGCGGTTGTTGAGGCAAGCTGGTGGAGGAAGGAGAGGAAGGGAAAAAGAACAAGTTTGTTTTCCGGTTCTTTCTGTGTAGGAGCCTTTTGGCACCCCTTGGTCCCTAAACCTGCCCAACCTCTACCACAGCATCCTGGACAACAGCAAACACCTCCTGACAGCTAAGCTTGTCTTTGTTACCCCTGTCCCAACATTCGCTAGTTAGTGAGTAGGGGGAAGTAAAGCTGATTAGGAGGGAGATAACACTGGCGAACTTGTTGGCTGTCAAAGTGATGAATTCAAAAGCCAAATGGCTCCAGGGGAAGGGGCAGGTTAAACAATGAGAGCATAACAGTGGTGTGGCTGTATTGCACAGGTGGTCAGCCCCTTGTGCGTCCTGGGCAGCAATCCCACCCTCTGAGTCCAGCTCAGAGGACTGAGAACTCACAGGGTCCCATGCCCTGGAAGCCCCCCTCCACCCCGCCTGCTATAGCTCTCCACCCAAGTCTCCCACACCCTCTACCCTGTAACAGCAGGAGTAAAGCATGACAAGAAAGGAATACATTAGGGTTAAGTCCTTTTTTCCCCTCTCTCTTTTTTTCTTTTATTTATTTCATATTATCTTTATTTCCTAGTCCTCTGCATTTCCAAGGGGTTAAGTCCTAAGACCAAAAAATAAATTACACATTTGGGTTATAAACCCAGTTTCACGAAGACATGCAGCAGTTGGCTTGGGCAGGGCTGGCGATGCCCATCTTGCTTTGTACATCTTACCCAGAGAGACCAGTCTCCCAGTAGAGCATCCATGACTGACCTTGGTCACACCTATCCCTCCAGATGGAACCGTGATATCACCTAGCTACAGGAGTGCAGGGAGAAATTGTGAGTGGATCAGATATGTTACATGTATTAGGTTGAACCATATGATGTGCTGTTTTAGCAGTTAAATGTTGGCAATTTGGTAAGGTCCAACCTAATATATATGATTGATTTTCCCCCCTCATTTATTTTTAGAGTCAGAGTCTTGCTCTGTTGCCCAGGCTGGAGTGTGATCACAGCTCACTGTAACCTTGAACTCATGGGCTCAAGTGATCCTCCCACCTCAGCCTCCCGAAGTCTGGGATCACAGGCGTGAGCCACTGCACCCGGCTGGATCCCTTTTGAGATTCTTATTCTTACCACCCCTGATCAACAGTTGTGAAATTCCTAACCTAGTTCCAAGTGAAGATTCTGAGCAAAGAACCAGATACAGGGGCTTGAAAATTAGGTGGAACAGACATTCCACAATCTCTACTCTGTACCCCTTTTGATCCTCCCCCTCCCATAGCTAATAAGGATTTATTGGAGAACTTAATGAATTAGTCATCTTGGGGGAAGGGACACCAAATAAAGGGTGACTGCTGATATAAAGGAAGCCACTCTTCCAGTCTATATATAATTTGCCCTTTTGAAAAAGACTAGTGTATTAGTTGTTTATTGCTGCATAACAAATTATCCCATAATTGGTGGCTTAA